TTGAATTTTGAAATTTATAGTAAAATAAAAATTTATAGTAAAATAAAATATAATATATATATATATACATATATATTATGTATAAATGATATACACTTATTATACGGTCTGAAAATACGATTCCTCTAAATTTTACAAGAGAACCGCTGTATTCAATAGTACTTTAAGTACCCAAGATTTTTTATATATCAACTGAATTAAATAAAACGTACAGTATACGATATCATTTTTCAAATGGTTTTAAATTATCGAGTTCTTAGGTTTTCGCGATTGTTACACATAGGAAATGAAACTATTTTTCCGGATTTAAATCGCGTATAGTATTTGTTTGTTTTTCCAAACAAACAAACGTTTCGGGCCCTTTACAGGTCCCATGGTCACGGTTGACTGAGGTGGTACAGTTATCAACCAGTTATGTCTAATATTAATGCAAACCACCCTATTTTTTCACTATAGTTACAAAAGTTATTAATTAAATACCTAATTTTTAATTTTACAAAGAAACATTCCAATTTACGCCACATTGTTTTACAAATAATTTTATTGTAACAATATGAATTTTTATTAAGTTAAATTTATTATAATTAATCATAGAAATTGGAGTAAATTGAAACATATTAATTAGTCTGATGAATGATGATGAAGACTTTACCCAATGATGTGTTGGCCTTTGCCATCTTTCGGTTTGTTTTTATAATGCCTAAGTCGGGACGAACAAGTCGTGTGATTGGTGGTAAGCGACACGCCTGCCCATAACAGTTGCAGTGCCACTCAGAGCTTTAAATCACAAAGATACGAAGAGAAGAGAGGGCACTGCCACTGCGCCCGACACCCTGAGACACTAGTTGATAAGTCCCATGTGCCTGTACTTTCACAAGCACCCTTGCCCTTCCACACCGGGTCAATGAAGAACCTGTTCTATATTGGCGGGTCTGGGGTCTCAGAATAGAATAGAATTATTTATTTCATATTATCAATGTCACAATATTATTACAATTAAAATTACAATGTCAAGGGATAATATAATCGTCACTAACGCAAACAATAATAACGAATGTAAAAATAAAGTAGTATAATTATAAATTATATATATCTACCGCATTACCCCACATGAGAATCCCAAAGTCAGAGTAACTTATGTGAGGTTATGTAATATTTATATATTGTATAATATGTTAAGTCCTTTTAATAAAGAAGCAAATAAAGGCGCTTTTCTTATGTGTTTAACTTGACCTCTTTATAATAGCGGGCTTCGATATTATTTACAATTTCACAGCTATGATATCTAACACTCTGTGAACGCGTTAGCTTATTGCAAATGTACTGTAGTCCTGCATATAGTTCATTGTCATGCAAGGTGCGTTTGACCATGACTCTTGGGAGGTGAACGGCGCTTGACCCACAGTCGGTTCACAATGATCAAGGACATAACGGCCGAACGAAATTATTTTTTTCTACTTCTGTACTTTAATTTGTCAATTATAATTTCATAAACCATGTCCTAAAGGCGCTATTTTTAGTTCTGACTCAAAATTCTAGCGTTACCACACTTGTCGACACAGAATCGCATTGAGTCGAGTAGAAAAAGCTTTATGTAATAAGAACTAAAAAGACAAACTTGCATTTCCGAGCGGAAGCGAACGCGCGAAAACCTTTTAGTTCCTAAGCCTGAAACACACAGAGAGCGGGCTCGGGTCGGGTTGGGACTGCGGCGGGTCTAATTCCGTGCATTTATATGGACGAAAACACACCGTTTTATTGTCGTATTGTGCTCTGGTCGTGCGCCCGTGACACTCTCAAATATCTATTTTATGCTTTTTATGAACTATACTCCGTGCAACCATTTATTCTTAGACTATGGAAACCAAAGGACATGTTAGGTCGACATATATAAATCAGACGTTGTATGTATATGATGCAAAGCCTGGAAGTATTGCATTTTTTGTCTATGGTTGTATGTCAATAATTACGGAACTTTAGAGGCATGCATATGTCAAAAGTTGAATAAATGGTTAGACGGAGTATAATTCATGTTAGACTGGGCAGAGACCGTGCCCGGGCCCGGCACAGTGTAACGTGAATCAGCCTGTAGACCCGTCGACCCGCACCCGCTCTCTCTGTGTGTCACGCTTTATGGTATGGATGTAAAGCTTTTTCTAATCGGCACCATTAGACTTCGTGTCGATAAGTGGCGGTGACTCCCCAAGGCAACGCGTGCACACCTGTCCGTCCGCCAATCGCGACAACATCGCAATACTTACCTAATTAAATTGTAACGGTAACATTACTACGCAAGGCAAAAGTGGAAGCGTTTATTTAAACGCTCATTGCATTTGAGCGTTATGATTATCCAACGTCTGTTGTTGAGTATTTTGTATCCTGACAATGGTGTCCATATTTTGAATAGTTTCGAGGGATTTTGAAATAGTATGCGCCATTGGGGAGACGAATACATTATATAAATAATAAGTACTAAATATATATAATTCTCTTGAATGTTGCTCACACAGTAGGCACGTGGAATAGAGCATCTTTCGCTTTGCAATCAAAGTGTTAATGAAAGTAACTTTTCAAGCTGTATAATTTGGATAAAGCGTATTGGCTACAATTATAATGATCCCAAATCAAATATCAAAATGGTTTCCGATAAAGTACCCATCTTATACCCATAAGTACTTTGTAAAATTAACATTTTCAACTTTCCCGTATACGATTCAAAGGGTAGAGTATATCACAGTTTCCGAGAAAGCTGTGGGAGCTGTAGACAATGTCTTCCGTTTTTCGCCGCCATTCACGGCGGCTCGTGTGAAGTGATTTCTCGTGAAGAAAGTAAAAGTGGGTCAGAGTCATGCGCGGGCGCAGGTGCGCACAGTGTCACGATTGACGCAGTGACACAACTTCAATCAATGATTAACTTTTTCCTTTGCTTACTTACTTACACATATGTAATAAATGTTCTTGAATTCTCGAGGCCATCGTTTCTCTGAATGTTTAGTACATTTGGTATTTCATATCTATAGGTAAGGATATTGGTGAAATTACAGGTACATGGGACTTGGCAACGTTTGTCTCAGAGTGACGAGCACAGTGGCATTGCCCCTCAAATCTTTGCGATTTAGAGCTCTGAATGCCACTGCGGCAATTGATATGGACAGGCCTGTCGCTTACCACCAGGCGCACGACTTGTTCGTCCCCTCACTTGGTATTATAAAAAAAATGACAAGGAGTGGATGACCATTTTGTGAAACAAAAGTGCCTTTATTGTCAATAAAACCCTTCAATTCTTTTCAGATTATTCGTGTAAGTAAGCAGGTGGTTAAATAATAAATTTAATATTAATATATTATTAATATAATATACCTTAACCTCACGCGTTATGTGAATAGGAAGATGATACTAATCAAATCAAATTCATTAATGAGAACCTGACGACGTCTTGTACATCTACTGAACAGTACTTTATAACAGATACGAAGTTTTCGCCCGGATGAAAACGGAGGCACAAGCGCACTACTTACGGTGACGAATTACGTATAAGTGGCTGTAGCGTTTCGTATTCGCTACGTTAGGCAAATATTTTAATAATAAAAAGGAAAATGCGAATTTAAGAAATAGGTTAGTAAGTCTTGGTATGATACATACACAATCCTCTATAATGTATGAAGTGCGACAAACTAGGCATGGACGTAACATAATTAATGCATGTTATGTTACGTGAAACGTCCCCATACACTAACACCTAAATGTAACGTGTGAAAGAAAAGCGTGAAATTGGAATAACTTTTGTAATCATACCCATTACAAAATTATACTTACATCATTGGTTCTCTACGGCACTACATTGAGAGAGAAAATATAATGTATGAAATGCGTGTTCGAGGAATACGTGGATTGATAGTTTTATTACTACACGTTGCCGATTACGTAACTCCATTAAAAATAATTTGATAAACATACATATATATGTATATACGTAACTTTTATAATTTAGAATACTCTGTTCTTTATTGTTCGGTAAGGTTCTTTACATTTTTTTAATTTAATTTTTTAACCGACATCAAAAAAGGAGGAGGTTCTCAATTCGACTGTATGTTTTTTTTTGTATGTACGTTACGCGATAACTCCGGTATTTGTGAACCGATTTTCATGATTCTTTTTTTGTTGGAAAAGGGATACTTATGGAAGTACCACTATGGAGTGGTCCCATTTCGATTTGTAGGAAATCATCCACCTCTAAGGGTGGCTGTTCACGCATGAAGATACATTTTTATAAATAGCGCCTAAATTTCCTTGAGGAGCAATTTTTTAATGGTTGATTTGGCTATTTCTCCGATTCAAGGCGTTTTTCTCTCAATATTCTTAGAGTAGTGAGAGCCGATTTTTATTATCTCCAGTGTCAAGTCCTACATTTTTTTTAAATATATATAATAGACACACGCTTGGCCACAATCTCACCTGATGTTAAGCGACGATGTGACCGACGATGGGACGCGTTTGCCTAAAAAAAATGCCTATTCACTCTAGCCTTGAATAGCCCCAAATTGTACTTTTCGGGAAATACAGATGCCGTAGAGCATTACGGCCGTACGCATCAGAAAGGAGGAAGCAAAACGCTTAGTGCGAATAGGTGGAATATCAACGACATAAGAATGGAGTGCTCCGGACCATAGTGACGAATTTAAGGATATTTCAATAAAACTTAGCAAATAGACGTAATTCCACGTACTTTTGAGGTCGGTTTTTTTAGTACTCTGCACTGAGATTATTATTATGGCTTGGATTAGGTTTAGTATTAAACCTACATATGGGAAGAGTATTGCACATGCTCGCTACAAATGGAAGAGATAGCAAAATAATGCAGTAGCAGTGACCTAGGCTGATTCAGTCGCTGGTTATTATGGAGTGAAATCGATGGAGACGTATTATCACCAAAAACCGAGCTGTTTTTACTCAGATGATTGCTGCAAGAGATATGCAAAACTTGAATATGAGATACTTACCACAGAAAGGTATACCATCAGGCGTCCATCGGCCATCGTCGCCGCAGATACGCCGCGCTGGGCCCAGCAATTCAAAACCCAGCTCGCATTCGTACGTCGCCACGGAGCCCTCCGCCAGCGCCTCGTCCGAGAACGACACCCTTGAGTGCGCTGGCGCACCCGGGAATGGGCATTTCGCTAACGCCCAACCTACAACAAATAAATCAACTTACAAAACACTGTGACGAACTATTTCACTGGCTCCCTGTGTATTCAAACAAAGCACTAAACCAAAATTATATTGCTACTTCTAGTTCACTGCAAAATATTTTAGAATTATATCACAAACTTCTCACAAGGACGTTGAAAACGTCAGTCTAACCTAAACTGTCTTATCTACAGTAATAGTATATGTATTTTTTTTCATCTTATATTATTATAAGCGATATGGTTAAGTAGATTTGTTATTGTTTCCTTCACAAATTAGAAAGGTTTATAAATATGGCGGCCACTATAATAGGCTCGTCTTGCGCCAGTGTCACTTTTATAACAATATTTTTTTCTTAATCAATAATCCTTTATTTTTTTCTCTAAGGATAATAGGCTTGTGCCAGTGTAAGTTTTATAAGAATAATACAAAAATTATGGCGATCACGAAGAAATTTTGTCTCAATAGTGAAGAAATCTTTTCCATCAAATCCTCTTTGTGATTCATAATGTTCTGACACTCATTGTCAAACAACAAATTGGTTTCCATAGTCTAAGATTTAAAAGCACCTGGAAATTGTCTTGGAATAATTATTAGTGTCGCTTGCATATTGAATTTTTAAACAAATTTATAACATTTAGACACAATAACGTTTTCGTACAATTTTTAAATTTCGTGCGCTATCGTATATTATGTGTCAACCAAATTTCTTACATAGAAAACACAACTGGAATGACGTTTTAATTACAAGACAAACACGACAAGGGCCAAATAATTTTGTTTGCAGGCCGAAGAATGAACAAGCTATCGTAGTCTTTCAGAGGCATAGGCAGCTACTATGTCGTATACCACCCGTGTGATCCAGGCGCGAACAATATACTTAGATTATTATGGGATATCCTTTAGCATTAATAATAATTCGACTGTTGTCATTGGTAGCTTTGACAATTATGTTGTTGGTGCAAGTGAATTACGTTCGCGTATTCCGGTTCGAGGTCACCATGAGTGAAGGACTCATAGTTACCTACGTCATCAGCCATGTGGGGCTCGCGTTTGCCGTTACCAGTATAAAGTGTGAAGCGTTTATATTTCAGGTGGGTATTTTTTTTATGATACTAAGTGCCATGCAGAGCTTTAAATCGCAAAGATCTGAGGTGCATTGTCACTGCGCCCATCACCCTGAGACATAAGTTGACATGTGCCTGTAATTTCACTAGCTGCTTACCCTTCAAAACCGGAACGCAGCAATGCTAACATTACTGCTTGGCGGCAGAAATAGAGAAGGTGGCAGTACATCACTGGGCGAACTCTTTTACATGGAGCTCTACTGTTACCGTTGTGAAAGAGTTCTTAGTGGTACCTATCTAAGTCCATCATATTTATTTGAAAACTCTGAATACTTAAACAACAAAAATACATATTTTAAATAGAACTACTAACTTACAATTACTCAGTCAAGTCAATCATGATTTTTAGTCACATTTATGGTCGTTGCAAGCATTGTATTTATGATTTTTAGTCACATTTATGGTCGTTGCAAGTATTGTATTTTTGCAATTGCGTCGCGGTTCTTAATTATTTAGCAATACTGACCTGGCGATAATATGTGATCTGTTTATTCCAATCGGTTCTAGATAGTCAGAGTTTAAGTGCGTTGCCAGGTATATCTGGTGGTGCTCGGCTTTATTCTGTTCGGGATAAACGCTACAGTGTTGTGGTGGAAGTGGTTCAAAGTGGACCAGAAGATGCAAGCTGTCATCGAGTTGCTGCTAGCTTTGGAATTGGACGTCAGGTTTCAGGTATAAAACAATAGCTACACCTCAGGTCACGTTTAAAAGTTTTCATAAAATATCGTTAATGGTAGGTAGATTTCACTGGTACTGATTTGTGCCTTTATCATCATTGGTACAGTTAGCGCTGCAGCTGCGCTGTGGTTCAACCACATTCGTGTAAAAGTATGAGTGACATACTCTTTTTTTTCTTTTACATTTTTTTTACATTATTATACTTTACTTTTTTTCTCGTTTCAAATTAATACATACACACCTTGTTGTCACTCTTATTTTTTTGTAGTAAGGTTGTTCATTAAGACACGGCAAAACACAGGCTCTCAAGTCACAGGTTATCCTACTTTGAAAGTCAGGGAATCTATCTTGTAATGTTCTAACCTTATCCTAGATTTAATTTTTTGGTTTGAAATAACGCTTGGAAATAATTACATTATTATTATTTAAAAAAAAAACCTAACAACAGGAATACAAATTACAAACCTAATTGCCAGACCGACAAAATGATAGTGACGGAGTGAAGATATTTGTGTTTTCCATCCGTTACTCTCATCTCTGGACTGTATTCGCACTTTCCATCAGGCGCGGTGCAGTCATTTTGCCGAGTCACAATAAAAAAAAAAAAAAAAGTTCGGTATTTTAAGTTTATGTTTGACTTTCTTTCTTGCAGATATTGGTAAAGATTACTCTAAATATAATTTTAGTAGTTTTAATGATAGTGGACTTCCTTTTAACGCCGCTGCTGTTAAAACATGACAAAAAAGAGCACTATCGATCGATCAACGATTTTCTGAATACAAGCAATACCGTTCTACGCGTCAGCGAATTCTCACGTTTAAACGATTCTTCGGGGCATTTTAGCGATTTTACTATGATCGTAGACAATGTATCATAAGTCATCGCAGATTCCAATTTCCTGTCATGCGTCGGTTCCACTCCGTTACATGGAATCTAAATAAAACCTTCATGGGAAATACGTCTGGATATATCAACGCTCATATCGATTTTAACTTGTTTGTCAGGTGATGGGATATTTTGGCACCTGGAGAGTTTTATTCTTATTGAAGCATATGATTTGAAAGAGTTTTGCTTCATTGTATATTAGTACAAAATATGTTTGAATGGAAAGTCATCTATATAGCATGACAAATAGACCGTCATCGGCCGAATGTCCGGAACTTATTCGGTACCTACCATTCCGAATTCGGAAATGTTCCGTGCGATTCGTGTTACGGCTTTCGGCGGGCGAAAGCGCGCTTGATCGAATCTCACGGCATAAGATGAGTCTACTTTGTAGTTGCGGCTTGGAATATGCTTCGATGCTTTGCTCTTTTTACATTATCGACTATGATAAACGGCAATTTAGCAACTCTAGCGAGATAGTAGCCCCTTCATGCAACGTAATTATTTTTTGGTTATATTCCCTTCTATGCCGAACATTAAATTTTTCATGTACTTAATGGTATTTATTATTTATTCTTATTTTAACAACAATCTTTAGAATTATAAGGTAACTTAATGTGCTAATAACGGAAAGCTTTTTAAATAATTAACAACAATCGCACCCCTCATGGAAGAATGGCATAAGTGAAGTTACGCCAAAAATGTTTATTGCTCCATTAGATACAGAAAAGTATAACCCACATCCTCTCCAATTCTTGTAACTCTGTCGCCAATATTAGTGGACAGTTACAAGAAGTAACTTATATATTTTTCTGTATCTAATGGAGCAATAAACATTTTTGACGTAACTTCACTTATGCCATTCTTCCATGAGGGGTGCGAATTGATGTAGATTAATTATTTAAAAAGCTTTCCGTAATGTAAAAAAAATGTAATAACCTAAAATGTCGCACTTTCGTGGATTTCACTTTTACTCGCTCTATTCTATTCGCTCTACAAACAGCCGTGAAGTGCGTAATTGCATGGTCTAATCTCGTGTTTATCACGTGCGCGGGTGCAGACACTGTCCAATAATCACTTGGTTACGGGCTTAACGCGCGAGTCGGGTCGTGACCTTCCGTGAACAAAGGCCGAGTTATGTATGACCGACGACTTGACCGCGCGGACAACGTTTTAGTGAAAGTAATGTGTGACGTAGTGGAGAATAAACAACGAAATTTTCATTTTCTACTGTTAAAATTAAAATGTCTGCAGTTTATAAGCAATCTTGTAAGATATTACATCACACTGTTAATACAATAGTGTATTAACTCAAAAAGTGGACTTTCTCAGAATCAATCAAAATCCCGCAAAAAATCATTAAAATGTATGTTATAGTTTATTGTCGACACAAATAATTTTTCAAATATATTTAAAAATAAAATGGAAAAAATAATTTAATCTTTTTCAATATGGCTTATTTTGACCAGAACTAGCTTACATAAAGTGCGTCTCATTTTGAGTTAAGTAACGACGGTTTTTTTGACGTGTACAGAATCAAATTTTACGTTCAATAATGATATAATATTAAATTTCACATATTTTCAGTTACAACACTATTGTGATATCAGTGCGACATGATGATAGCACAAGCAAACAACAGTTTGTGTGTAGCATCGCACAAACTGCTCTTTTCCAGCTGACGGATGTTGCGTTTTGTCTCGATTCTGCGTAGATTAGGACCTTAGGGTAGTGAATCATAATAACCTGTCGTGCTTATAATCGAAAATTAGATGAGTAGGGTTTTAAAACTTCAAGACTATCATAACATCGTATTCTTTATTCATATGAACGTTATAAAAGTATTTTTTTTTATAATACTAAGTGCCAGGACGAACACGTCGTGCGTTTGGTGTTAAGAGACACGCCTATCCATAACTGTTGCAATGCCATTCAGAGCTTTTAATCGCAAAGGTCTGAGGGACGGAGCCAGTTACCCTGAAACATAAGTGGACAAGTCCCATGTGCCTGTAATTTCACCAGCACCCTTACCCTTCTGAATCGGAATGCAGTAATGCTCACATTACTGCTTGGCGGCAGAAATAGGCAAGGTGGCAGTACTTCCCTGGACGAACTCTCTCACAAGGAGCTCTACTGTTACTAAAGTAATATGTAAATGTATATGTGTAATTTTATAATTCTCATATTTAATTATAAAAAAGCATAAAAAGTGATTTAAACTTCTCTCCTGAAAAATTGACATTTTTCATATATTATCACACCAATATTGGGATAAGTTCTTACTGAACCCGAAAATCTTGACTAACACTATTTTTTAGTCTAGGCTCTAGGATATTTAGAAGGTAAATTAAGTAATGGAATGTACTACTTGCATTTATATTTTTCGAATGCTACAGTTTAGAACCATTCAAGATTAGAGAGAATACCTGTTTGCTAGATAAATATATAATCGTCGCATAACATCTATAATAATAATCCTTAGCATTAGGTGAGATTGTGGCGTTTACATAAAGAAAAAGCTTGCATTGAAAACTGTAGAGTCTTCCAGGTATGCTAATATAGGTATCAGTTTGACAGAACTACTGGGAATCGTAAATCGTAGTAAGGAAATGCCAGTAGTTCTGTCAACAGTACGGTATATAATAGAACTAGTAGGAATAATCGGACAGAACCGACAGAACTACTGTATGTTAACAGAACAAATGGGAAGAAAAGTACCAGTAGTTCTGTTAACAGAACGGTACAACAGAAATAGTGAGATTAATCGCTTAGGAAGACAAAGATAAGTCCAAGTTGTAATTGTGGCTCACATTGTGTGTTTTGTTTTCGTGGCGTGTATGTATAATAATAGTACCTTTTACTGTTGGTAAAGGGGAAGTATGTGTAGGTTATTAGACATAAAAATTACCAGGGCGAACGCGCAATAAACAGTAAATAGCCATAACAATCCTAATAACAGTAATATTCAATGTTGGAACGGCTCCGATGCGGGTGCATAGTGAACGACATAAAACGATTTGAAGCACTGTAATAGCTGCATTTAGTTGCAGAACCATTATCCTACCCAAGAAAGCGTGGTGACCCCTCAGTTAAAACCAAGTTATCAAATGCACAACAAGAAACACAACAGCGAATAACTATACCTTATCCCATCTGCATAAAGCCGACTTTACAACTGTTATATAGTTTTTAAATGCGTCAAAATGTGGTTTTTCTGTTGTTTTCACGCTATCTCAAGATGTGATTGAGAAAAAAACCGAAGAGTACCTAACGATGAGTTGAAAATTGGGGGCGACTGTTTTCGAAAATTGTACCTGCAAATCTAAAGCGTTTTCGAGAGATACTCGAAGTACTGTTGGGTTCAAGAAAAACAGAGGGACATACCTAATAAATGATAGTAAAGATAAGGACACTTTAGACCTTAAAACATAAGATGTTCTGCTTACACATACACAGGTAACATGTGATTCGTGTTACAATTTGATGATTTATTTGCAAACAGTGATTTTAAAGAATCAAATTTTAAAGAAATCGTAAATACTAAAAAAGGTCGTTCTTTCGCAAGTAATTTTTTTAATATGAAAGTGGAATTAAGCGCTTGTGAAGTAACAATAACTTATTTTGCCTGTAGATGGATGAGTCGTCTAACACGAAGTAATGTGTTTTTGCTTTTGCATGAATAGAACAGCCTCCGGGTAGAAAGTTGGAGTTGAACTCTTCAAGTCTCCTTTTTAAAATTCCTCTTCCAGATTAAAAGTAATAGATATAATGAAAGAAGAATTAAGCACTTGTTACCCACATGTAACTACGACGGATTATCTATGGAAGTTCATATTATGACCGATAAAAGCTCATGTTTACCTGTTGTTCTCTTCAGATATGATAATGCGCTCGCGCCGATAAGGCATTACTTCACTAACCGTAGTAAGAAATCATGGGAAGTTTTTTCCAATGAGAACCTTATTCCTAAGCCGAAATTTGTTCTAGGTAGACTTGCTATACCAAAATAGAGGGTACATTTAAAGAGTATTTAGTAATAATTAAAATTTTATTAATAGGTAATGCTCCTTAATTATTAATATATACATATATATAATAAATAACAAACTTGTAACAGAAACATATTATGAGTACATTAATAGTTAGTACCTATTATGGAGATAAAAGATTAGGAAGATAAAATGAAAAAGTGTACTTCGATAAAGTGTTTGAAGCTTAGACAGCGTTTCTAAAGTTGCAAAGAAGCAAAGAGGACGGCCAAAAGTTGTTTAGAGGAAATCTAATTGATTGAAGAAGAGAATGGACGTGAAGGTTCCTGTCTGATGGACGGGCAGTTATTGGAGTTGAGTGCATAATAAAATTAAGAAATCCGAAAACAAACCTTATACGCATTTTACAGGATAATTACGTTTCTTTATCCAGGTATAAAATATCAGTATAATCCAGTCTGTCTATTGGAAATAAATTTGCGTTCGCTGCAAGAGGAGAAAAGGGAATTGGGACATCATAAACAATGCAATTCAAGTGCTTTTAGTTTTGGTTGGCTTAACTGTTAAGCACTATGTTTTGAGCGTAACGACGACAGAAAGAAAGGGTATTAGAGTTTTTTTTACGGGACGAACAAGTCATGCGCCTGAAGGTAAGCTACATGCCTGTCCATAACAGTTGCCGCGCTACGCAGAGCTTTAAATCACAAAGATCTGAGGGGCACTGCCACTGCACCAGTCACCATAAGACATAAGTTGACATGTACCTGTAATTTCATCGGCTCCCTTACCCTTGAAAACACAATAATGCTGACATTACTGCTGGGCAGCAGTAATAGGTAAGGGGGCAGTACTAACCTGGACGAACTCTTTCACAAGAAGCACTACTGCTACTAACTGAGTGTGGTGGAAAAGAACATATCGAGTGGAGAAAGGATCCCGGCAGAAATAGCATACGACGCGTAGAAACCCAACTTGTCAGTCTTTAACTGATTTAGAACAACAAATAGATTTCTATATTAGGAAATCAATAGAAAATGTGACTACACTACATAGTAATGAAAATGCTCTACAATTGATCTACTTTAGTCGACTCATCAATTTCTCTCTGTGGTGGCCCGGGGGTACACTTGACCGGGTCACTGGCCGTGGGCAGTACACACTCGACGTGCAACGAGAAATTGTACGTGGACATCTGTTTTACTATTAAAATGTTGAGTGCTACTTTAAATTGTGTTGTCTGTATCAAATGTGCAGATCCGAATATAAAACTAGCTATTACTCTTTATCCGGTTACGGTAAAGTGGGGTTCTATATATTAACTATTAAGTGCTAGTATATCGTCTGCAGTCTCGATACTTTTATATTATTATATATATCAGGCAACATGCATTTCAGACAGAAAATGATGGCACCATCAGGAATCGCGCTAGGATTATCTAAGGTCTTCTAATTGGGCTAGGGTGGTTAGCTCGTTTAGGAAGGAGATGCGCAATGGTTTTATAGGATAATTTGTATTTGGTGACTGTATAGGCCTATGACCTTTAATTACGTATACGTG